CACGAGCCAGCTTCGCCGCGCTTCGCGCGGGATTACTCGAATCAATTCGGGGAAAAGTTGGTCGCCGCTCTTGTTGTATCGTTGCTCTGCTTTTAACCTCGTTTCGTGCAAGGTAATTTCGTACGTCTCTTGTTTATAATTATTCGAATCGCTGATGAAACGTTGCAATTGAATTTTCTTCCTCGTTTCTTTCCTCTCTTTCTCTCTTTAAACCGTTCGATAAATATTCCGCTTGGAGTTGCGTGAAGTTTGATAGAAAAGTGAAAAATCGGCCGAGATTGATGGTGATCGGATTACCAACTCGATGTTCAAATAAATCCTGCCAAATCCCGATATAAATCATAGGAGAGACGAATCGAGTAAACACGCCTCGAGTCATCTTTTTACACTGTGACGCGTTTCGTAGAAATTATTCACGATCATATATAAAATTGAAACATTTTCAAAAGACAATTATAACGATACAGTTTAATATTTTTAAATTTAACGGCAAAACAAAATTTAATTTATAATCGAGGTCATTTAATAAATGATTCAATGGTAAAAATAATATTAAATTACTCTAATATAAAATGTAAAAAATGTGAACACGAAAGTATAAAAATTTCCTTTCATACTCGAATATTAATTTTCAAGCTCGCCTATTTATATCTATATTTAATTTTTCTGTTTCAGGTAAGCGTTCAATCTTCTTCTTCTTCCTCCTGTTCTTCTTCGAACGGCTCAATTAATCAAAGGTGGTTAATGGCGGAAACGAGGTAACAAAGTTATTCCAATAAGAAATCGAAGGATTGAAACACCATAATTAACTAGATATATATCGATTATTTCCCCTTCCCCCATGAATGTTGCAGTTAAATACGAATATTCAACCGATCCGTAATATATCCTCGCGTATAATATCTCCGCGTGTAATTAGTAATTACACACTAGATTATTTGCCAGGTAAACACATATTTGATTAAACTGCATTCGCGGCGTATTGTAATGGCCATTACGAATTCGCCGTGCTTAAATTACTACTCGAATTATGCCCCGTATACAACCGGCGCACCAACTATTGCACTTCGATTCAAGTACCAATAGAACGAATCGATAGTCGATAGTCTCGTGTTCAACATCTTCGCCAATGGTACGTAACTATCGAGGGCGTTATTATTGCTTTCCCCTGTTGTTTCATTAATTATCAACAATTGGACGCCGATATAAATCGATATATCGAGTTATTTGTGGTGGTAATTTCTTTTTCTTTTCTTTTCTTTTTTTTTTTTTTTTCTTTCTAAATAGAAAAATGATTTATTCGAGAAATCATCAAAGGCTTATTATTTCTTTTTTTTTACTTTCGTTCGATATTTGTATCTATCGAAGAAAGTCTATATTTTTGAAATTATGGGGTATAAATAATTATGCTTATCTACGATTTACTTAAAGAATCCGTAACCTCTTTTTCCTTTTATTTTTCTGTTTATGAAAATGATCGAAAACAACTTCTTTCTGCTTCCTTACTTTGCTTGACCACGCTCGTATATCAACATATAATAGCAAAAAGTCCAGTTTTCCCTTCTATCGAGGAGGGTAATTATTACCCTCTCTCTCTTCCCCTTTATCTTCATAACTAAGCAAAAGATAATTATTCAGAAGTACATACTATACATACTTGAACAAGCTATAGTTTGACACGTTGCCGGTGACTCGGGAATACGTATAACTCGTCGCATATCTCATTAAATATTCAACGGAATCTTGTTCTTGGTTGAAAACTTGCTTCTCATACGCGAAGAATCCTTTCCAAAGTCATTACTATACCTGAATCCCAATGAACTCAAGCTGATACTTTTTCCTTTTATCTCGCGTTGCGATAAATTAGTGAGAAAAAATCGTAGATCTCAAACCAAAGTGTACTATATATTCTCCACACCATATATACAATCTCTCAGTAAAAACTCAACGTCCAATCAAACGTCCATCCTCCTGATTCCCTCTCACCGGAACCTTCTCATCGTATCCATCGTTCTTCGAATCCCTCATTCGCGACGACATCTTCTCGCGACAACCGTACTCCGATCCCGAAACCATCCCGAAATCGCATCATCCCTTCAATGACCCACCGTACCGTGGAACGAAGAACAGACGCTCGCCCGTTTACTGAATACCAATTTCCGCGCCGCGGCAGTATTCCAGCCGAGGAGAGTACGGTTCACGCACGGCTACGTGATTACGCGAGATTGAATTTAAAGGAGGAACAAAGATATACATATATATATATACATATATATAAAGAGAGAGAGAGAGAGTATGTGAAGACACGAGGAGGAATCGATCGGTCGAGGAACGGGACAAATGGTCTTTCTCGAGCCGTGGTACGGAGATTGTCTCCAAATTGCACGCTCTAAGACGCTCCTAGAACGATTCCGACCACGGACAATTAGGCGATCAGGATCGATTGGGGAGGAGGGAGCTGATGGATCGGGCCGGACGTCGGCAAACTTGGTGTTGACGCTTCGTGCTGCGCTTCCCTGCAGTGTCTGCCGCCTCGTTATTGCCGATGCCCGCCGATCTCCACCTCCCTCCCTTCCCCGCCTCGGTATATATGCCCAGCTTCTCGCATTACTTACGGATCCGCAAACACGAGAGAAGGTTGACGAACCTCGACAACCGGTACACGAGGTATTGCGACGCGATTCACTCTCTCCTCCTCTCCCCCTCGCGCGATATTACACGCTTCCCTCCCCCTCCACGCAGATATTAGATTAGATTTTGCACGAAATTGGGAACTGGTCTAGGAGAGGGGGATGAGTCTGTCGATTGGAGTGGATTGGTCTGGATTCTTTTTTATATTATAAAAAGTGTGGAGATGTGGAGATTCTTAGGGAGGAGTTCGTAAGAGGGAGAAGGTTGGTTTTCTGGGAGAAGTTGCGAAAGTTTTTTTTATTTTTGGAATGGAAGAAAAGACTTTGAAAAGGTTTGGAGAGAGTATTGCAAGTTCGATTCGATTCGACTTTTGTTTGTAGAGAATGTAATTTTTAATTCGAAATTGGGAAGGTCAATTTTGAGAACGTTGTTTCATTTAGAGGAATTCAGATTTTTCACACGTGAAATTAATATTCGTAAAAACGATTCTATCTTCGATCAGCAACATTTAAAATATTTCTCCAATTTGATTAGGCTTGGTTTAAAGGTATCCTCGGACGAATTAATATAGAAACTTCAGCAAAGTTTAAGAAAATTCTTCAACCTCCACTAATATCCAACCAGATACCTTCAAACTCCGCAATTAGCACGAACAAGTTGGACATGAAAATTGAAAAAAAAAACTTTAAAAATCATCCCCGCCCACCGATCTATCCATAGAAGAAAGAAAGAAAGAAAGAAAGAAAGAAACTTACTTGTTCAACTCACTCCCGATCTCTCCAACATTTTCCAACATTTTCCTCAAGCGGGAGGAAGACGATGGAAAAAATATATATATAGATACACCTGGCCCGATCGACGGACAGGTTTCGCGTTTCGTGGCTGAATTCGAATCCGAATCGCCAGGGGAGAACCGTATAACTTCCTAATAAAGTATTTAGCCGACGGA